GGTTTCGGCTCTTTTCGGACCAACTAATTGGAGGCGGAGATGGTGGAGGTCCTTGCACCGCACTAAGTCTAGGATTTAGGGGCGAGGGCTTGGAGTCTAAGTTTGGACGGGGACCTAGACCCCAGGACAGGAGGGTGATGGGTTGGTTCTGCTTGTGCCTGGGTACAAGCAGGGCATGTATTTTTGGGGTACCTAGCTGGAAACATTGATTCATGAATCATCGGGCGATCCGGTATGGCTTGTCTACGGTTTAGCATCGTAGTAAGAACTGAAAGCTGGAAGATGATGAAATGGAACTAATTGCTCAACTTTCACTTATGAAAGTAGAATTGGTGCTTACATAGAATGGCTAGATAATAAATTAATATGGCTGTAAATAATAACATAAATAAGGACTCACTATTAGTATTGTTTTCTGCAAAAGAAAACCAGCAAACCATAAAACTTATTATCTCCCTTGGAGTCGGAAAATTATTTCCACTAGTCGGATAAGTCTTGCGAGTACATTGTGTACTCGGGTTTATTTACCCCTGTTGCAGGTAATACATGAGGAGTACTATTGTGTGAAGGATTCTTCTGGTGGGCACAGACGGAATCCTGGCTTACTATCGATAGATGTTTCTTTTAAATTCTTTGTTTAATATTCCACACTCTGACATTTGGTAATATAATAATGTAATTTTTAAGAACTTTGGATGTATAAAATGAACTAAATTTGTAACTCATTCTCATTATTGGATCCTTGGGAAAAATGTGGATCTTTTGGGCTCTCCCTTGGGGTGTGCTTGACGAAACCCACCTGCTGTAGCTTGCTTTCGGGGTGCTTAGTGTCTGGTGGAATACGAGCGCCTCCGTAAGTATGTTATTTCGGGCGGTTCTGCCACAGTAGCGCTCCCACTAGTGTGCGCATGGTGGAGAGGGAGCCAAGGCGAGCTAGTGGTGCAAAGGAATTAGCACGGGTGAAGTGGTGAAGGCTGGCCACGGCACGGGTGGTGATGGGCCTTAACGGCACGCACAGGCAAAGCTCCAAAATTGGAGCTCGGCGTGATGCGAGTCAAGGTGGGGTGAGGTTGGCTGGAGAGGGGGCGTGAAGGTGGAGACGCGAGCACGAGAAATTGATGAGAGGTGCTCGCTTTCTGGGTTCACCGTGACGCGACGCGACGGCGGCGGAGAACAGAGGGAGAAAGAGGAAAGAGAGAGACGACGCGGCAGTGGGCTCGACTCGTCCATGCCTTGGCGGGATGCGAGCGGCGAGAATGGGAGGCCCACGCTCTGGCGTTACGGACCATGTGTGTGCGCGTCCGACCGGCGTGGCCCTCACGCCGCAGTGCCAAAAATGGCATGGCGACGGCGGCTCACCCATGTGCGCGTGGCAGAGGCGACATGCACAGGACCGGCAACAGCGCAGAGGTGCAGCGGATCAGCGCGAACGCGATGACAATGCGACGTCAGCGGCAGCGTCGCGACGCAGTAGTAGTGAGCGATGCGCGGATGACGGCCGACAGCAGCAAGCGCCGCGCGACAAAGACCAAGACGGCAGCGGCGGAGGCGAAAGCAAAGCGGGGCGGGCCAACGGCTCGCTGCGGCCGGCCTCGGCCAAGCCTAGGCGGCTCGACCGGCCAAGCGCGGCGGCACGGCTGACCGCGCGGGACGCGTCCATGTGCACGGCGTGAGAAGACCGTGCGGTAACCGCGCACCCGGCGCCAACCAACCCGAGACGTGACACGCACGAATTTTAAAGCGTTCAACACGACCAAACGATTGCTTTAGGACCTAAACCATCTTCACCATGCTCAAGATGGCACATAAGACTACCAAATCGAGCTATAACACTACACCACCCTTTAACCCAATCTCTCACAATAAATTGCTAAATATAGCAGTGTCTAAATGTTGACAGACTTTGAAAATTTCTAAGTTTTTGAGCTGAATTTGATTTCCATTTGTCATTTCTAAACTAGTGGAAATATTAGCTAGTAATATCATTTTTCGACCGTAAGTATTTTATTGTCATCTATAAAGTTTGTACTTAAAACTTTATTGAAGTATCACATACATGTTCTATAGCATTTTTGTTTAATAAAAATTAGTTTTAAACCATAAGTGATATAACATGACTATCGAATCAACTTTCGTTTCGTATTTTAGTTGATCGTTTTGAGTCACAAAAATTGATCTATACACTTTATCACATGTATTAACACATAAACATGATGCTCGTGACATGTTTCAGTAGATGATTTATGGTGTAACAACAAAGTGTTACACTGCCAATGAAATCGACTCTTGTGCCATCGATGTCATCATTGTCATTATCGAAGTCATTATTGCAGGTACCAAGCTCCCGTTCAAACCACAGTGATGATGCCACCAATAAATTTATTTAGAATAAACATAAAGACTGCTTAACTGTAAATAATGTGTGGGACCCTCTCCTTCTCGCTACCGCCGCGGCCAAGCCGGGGAGGAGGGAGGGCCCCCGAGGCGACTGCAGCTTGGACCTTAGGGTCCACGAAGCGATGGTTATCTATCCCGAGAAAATGTAACTATCCATCTTCATTTTACCCATCATTATTCATCTCAAGTCCTTATCCAATACGTACGACCCAAGACTACAATTTGACACCCGTGCCCACACTTTACAGCAAGACTAATAAAATAGTCTTCGGCTGGCTGTATGGACTCCGGCTCTATTTGGTTTTCATAAGTTAGATGACCTATTAACTCAGGTGATTGAAAACCAGTAATTTATAAGTCATGTCTATTTGGTTGTAGATGACTTATAAGCTCATTAAAAGTGTGGGCCCCACGCGAAAAAGGGTGACTTATAAGTTTTAAGCAGGGGTGAACCAACTTAAAACTTATAAGCCCGGTGGTGTTTGACAAAATAAGTCACTTTTTCACTTTTTAACTTATAAGTAGGTGACTTATTTGACTAAAACAGGCCCTCATACAACCCACTTATGAGTCCACTTAAATATGCAGTACTCAATCCATCCTAAATTGTAAGACGTTTGACTTTTTTAACACCAAGTTTGACCACTCGTCTTATTCAAAAATTTGTGTAAAATATCACTTCTTTCGTCGTGGTTTGGTTTATTAATAAAAATTCTTCAAGAATAACTTAAATTTGACTATATTTGCATAATTTTTTTAAATAAAACGAGCGGTCAAACTTGGAGCCAAAAAAGTCAAACGTCTTATAATTTGGGATGGAGGTAGTAGTTGGCTAACCTATGACCCACTCTTTTTTCCCTTGCAATGTTTTTGCTTCTTGTGCTTCGGCTAGCCGTAAAATCACAGCCCACCTCTCTTCTGTGTTCTCTTGCTCTAAGGTGTGGACACCGGCACCCGCGAGTCTAACTGCAACAACTGTCATCCCTGTTACGAGATCACGCTGATCTATAATAGTTGAAGAATGTTAAATTGGCCTCTGCTTCATCTCTTGATCCAATAGCTCTCTGCCATTCCGAAGCCGATACGTTGGCACGGAAGAAAGTGAGAAATCGAGGTCTTTGGAACACCCAAAGGCCACGTCGTCACAACGATACAATACACCTTTTGATCCACACACCAACATTGACACACCGTTCTACTGTGCGTCTATGCCTAGGCAACAAATCAGCTGTCTGGGCAGTTCTGGCAATCTGGCTACAGGACAAGGCGGAACGATGGACTCAACCCAATGGCGAAAGAGAGAGCAGCGTCTACGAAAAAAATGAAGGTTGTTAATGATCATACATTCATATTTGGACAAACAATTCGCCACGTAAGTCTAAGAATAGTCTCCAGTCAGTGGACAAAAATTCACGGCAAGATCCATGCTGCCCTTTCATTATATGTTCGCTCCAAACTAGGGATTACGCAGTTGCTTTTGCTTATGTTTTAATTTCATACCAGTATTTTTTTTTCAATGACAGCATGAGTTTTTTTTCCTTCATATTTTTACTAAAAGAGTAAAAGACAAATATAAAAGGGCACAAATAAAGAGAACACAATTACACAAATATTTACGTATCGTAGACAAAACTACCGAGCACACCTCCAAGTCCAAAGAAACTAAGAAAGCCATGGATACAAAGAACAAAGAACCAAACAAAGCCGAGAGCGACCAAGGGATTATTGACTCAGCAATTTAGATTTGTTCAATTGGTTTCTTTGACATAAAAATGGCGCTTTTTTGTGGTCCTCCGTTTTGCTGAAAAATTCTCCTATTTTGTCTATTTCACACATTCCACCATAAGTAGATTACTAAGCCATCGAAGTCCTTTTAATGTTGAGCTTGTTTGTATCTCGGCAAATTGGATCAGATAGCACTCTTGATTGTGTATGACTCCCCATGGGAGCGAATATTCCAGAATCTAGCACGCTGTGCTTTCAGTGGTAGGCGACGTTCTCGTCGACAGCGATGCACTTATGGTGACTTCGTCAAAGATTTGTCAGCCCAGTCTTCGAAGATGCTCATAGGAGTAGTAGTGGTAAGCAATGTTCCGATCGACAGCGAGGCGCTCATAGGGGTATCAGTAGTAGGCGACATTCCCGTCGACAGCGATGCGATGACTTCATCAATCTCAAGGATTTGCCGGCCGAGTCTTCGAAGATGGTCATAGGGGTATGGTTTGCGTACGTGTATTTATAGGGGGTGAGTGTGCGTGCGTTATAAGTGTCTGAGTTGTGGTGTGTAACCTAAAAAAATTAGACTTGACAGCCGAATTAATGGAGATATCTCACATATGCTAATGGTAAATACTCGCAACAGTATGTACTAGCAAAAACTAGAGCCACACTTATCGTCTGGTGTCGTTTCGATTGATGCCAGTCTGGTATCATCGACGAGAACAACGGCCACAAATATCTTGCAGGAGTAGGATTACGTCGATCTGGTTCTCCATGTTCGTATAAAACAAAGCCAATATTCTGATTCTTGTTTCTGCTGCAATCCCTCCAAAGGCTCCAACACGTCCAGCAAAAGAGCACGCTGTTGGCCTAGCCCATGATCAATGGCTGCCGCAACCATGGTCTTCCTACCATGCTGGGGATCCGGTCACTTCATGTCCATGATCGCTGCCGGCAAGCGGATGCTCGACGCCAGCGGTGGTGCCCTCTCCCTGACCGTGCTAGTCATGCAGGCCCCGACGCCAGCCAAGGCGTCCGAGGTCGAGGACCACGTGCGCCGTGAGTCGTCGTCTGGCCTTGACATCCGCTTCCTGAATCTCCCCGCCGTGGAGCCGCCGACCGACTGCGTGGCCCCCGAGGAGTTCAACTTCAGGTACATCCAGCTCCAGGCGCCCCAAGTCGAGGAGGCCATAGCCGGGCTACCGTCCCCGGTGGCCGCCATCGTCTTCGATCTCTTCTGTACGCCCCTGCTCGACGTGGCCGGCGAGCTCGCCGTGCCCCGGTATGCGTACTTCGCCTCCACGGGCGCGTTCCTCGCGCTCATGCTGCGCCTGCCGCTGCCGGGAATCCGTGAGGACCTCATCGTCAGGATCAAGCAGGCAGAAGGCACGGTGGACGTGCCGGGGCTGCCGCCGGTGCCGGTGTCCTACATGCCGGCGTGCCTGTCGGGCAGTAAGATCGGCAACTACGAGTGGTTCGAGTACTACGCGCGCCGCCTCATGGACACCAGCGGCATCATCATCAACTCCTCGGTCGAGCTGGAGCCTGGGGTTCTCGCCGCTATCTCGGACGGCCACTGCGTGCCGGGCCGCCCGGCTCCGACCGTCTACGCCATCGGCCCGGTGATCTGGTTCGCCGCCGCGGCGCCTGAGCAGCAGTCGCACGCGTGCGTCCAGTGGCTCGACACGCAGCCGTCGGCCTCAGTCGTGTTCCTCTGCTTCGGAAGCAACGGGGTCCTCGACGTAGCGCAGGTCAGGGAAGTCGCCGCTGGCCTGGAGCGCGGCGGCCACCGCTTCCTTTGGGTGCTGCGGGGCGCGCCGGCCGCCGGCTCGCGCCACCCGACGGACGCCGATCTGGACACGGTGCTCCCCACCGGGTTCCTGACGCGGACCCGGGGGCGCGGGCTTGTGTGGCCTGCCTGGGCGCCGCAGAAGGAGATCCTGGCCCACCCGGCCGTCGGCGGCTTCGTGACCCACTGCGGGTGGAACTCCATCCTGGAGAGCCTGTGGTTCGGTGTGCCGATGGTGCCGTGGCCGCTCTACTCGGAGCAGCACCTGAACGCGTTCGAGCTCGCCAGGGACATGGGCGTCGCCGTCCACCTCAAGAATATGGACGTCACCAAGGCGGACTTGCTTGTGGAGGCAGCCGAGCTGGAGGCGGCGGTGCGGGGCCTGATGGGCGGGACAGAAGGGGGCAGGAAGGTCAAGGAGAAGGCCGCGGACATGAAGGACGCGTGCCGGAATGCCGTGGTGGAGGGCGGGTCATCGTACGTTGCGCTTCGGCAGCTCATGCGCGGTCTCTGCCCCGGCGGTGGGGCACCGTCGCCGTGACGGCTGGGGAGGCTCGCTGTTTTACGGACGAAGAAGGGCCGTCGGCATGCGTCGTGATCAGTTTGGTGCTATGTTTGTAACAGGACACCACATATTATTAGTCAAAAAAAAAAGGTCAGGCAGGCGCATCAAAAATCTACATAACCATCAGGCGACGGTGTGAACACGTGTTGAACAATAAGCACTACACCACCGACGGTTCTAACCCCCACCCCCCACCCCCACCCCAACACCGCCAGTTATTGCCATTGTTTGCAGTGGCGAAGCTACATAGGTGGCACCCACAATTTTTTTTTTGAAAAATCACTATTAGGATCAAATTTTCACCATGACTGTAGCTTAAATTTTCACGCCTACAAGAGAAGTGCACCCCCTCTAATTTATTCTATCTTTGCCACTGGTTGTTTGTGAAAGTCGTCAGTGATAACCTCGGTTATCAGCGCCAGATCGACGTTCAATTCGGCAGTGATGTCGTTACCATCATTGCTGCGTCGGAGTTCGATCCAGTGACAATACGTTGAATATCACCGCCGGTCGAACGTATGAAGCATTAGCGTTAACAATGGAGGCATCAACGATGGTCTAACGGTTATGAAGGAGACATCAACGTCGGTCGGACGTACGATATAGTGGTGTTGATGAAGACATCAACGTCAGTCTGGCATATGATCCGGCGGTGATGTTGGGGACATCAACGTTGGTTGGGCATACGATCCGACGGTGATGGATACATTAACGTCGGCCTAGTGTATGATTCGGCAGTGATGTAGTAACTATCGCAACCGGTTGGCGTTCGATCTCAATGACGGATATATCACCGTCGTTCTGGCATACGATCCATCGGTGATTGAGCAGACATCATCGTCGCCCTTGAGTTTGGTCTGGCGGTGATGTCTTGTCTATCACCACCGGTGTGGCGTTTTTTCCGGCGGTATTGCTACTATCATCAACAGCGGTATTATCATATCACCAACGATTTGGATAGGCCGGCGGTGAGATGTTGCATTTTTCATAATATAATTTTAATATATCAAAATAATAATACCATTAGTATTTGGATTACATCATGCCCAGAACATACATAATGCCTCAAAATATACATCACCATCGGACCACGAGTCCATACAACAAATCTAACCACAATGACATATGTTTGAGAACACAAAATATAACAAACGATCGTCCATAATAAAACCGGTATTACTAGGTGAAGATGAATCTGAGCATATTAGCACCTTGATAAGAAAACAAATACTCCATCAATCCATAAAAGAATGTAATTCTCTTTTTTCGAGGAGTCAAACAGTTTGAACTTGACTAAATTTATATAAAAAAATATTAACATTGATGATACAAAATAAGTATCATTAGATTAGTTATAGAATATATTTTAATAACAAATTTATTTGAAGACATAAATGCTAATACTATTTACTATAAATTTGGTTAAATTTGAGCTAGTTTGACCGACACGGAATCCATAATTACATTATTTTGTGAACAGAGAAAGCACAGTTCATATAATGTTGAAGGAAAGTAAGCCCTCGTACGATTTCGATATGGAAATGACAAAGTTGTACGCACTTACAAGTTCTACTACTTCCTCCTTAACCTGTCAGAAGACATTGCTACGCGCATCAATTCTTTTGCTTTAGCCACAAGAGTTTTTGTGCTCTATGAGTCCTGCATTCCCCAAGAAGATCGTGTGCCTCTCAACCCTTGAGGGTGTTTGTTCTACCATCAATAATGCTTTCATCATGCTGTACTGGTTGAAAAGCTCTGCATTATGAGAATTGTACTTCATCAAATATATGGCTTACTCAATTATTACCCTCATAGTTCCAGGACAATGAACCGCTGGGTTCATATTTGCTTTCAGGGAGTCAACAAGCATCTTCCCAAACATTTCCTTACTCTGACCATTCTCTAGTTCTTGATCAAAGTTTACACGAATGAGTTTACATATTTGTGAACTAAGCCCAATGAGGGCCTCTAGTTCTTCCCCTTCTTCATCCATTATGCTCTCCAGAACCTGTAATTAGGGATACGAAGTCAAGTAGAGTTCAAATATTACTGACAAACAGTTGCTTTAGCAAGTTGTTTTTTTCCATCATTTGCTCATGTCTGTTATTCCTAAATATTGCAACTGTTTTTTACCATCCTAGAAAAAGATACACTAGGGTCACTTAATGTAAAAGAACATCCATGGATATGCATATTTACATAGTGAAGTGACCTGAGGAAGAAATGTAGGTAAATTAACAAGTTGAGGGGAAGATTACAGAACATATTGCAAATGATGAACTAAAATTGAAGATAACTTGTAGCTTGAATTAAATTGGCTCCTATGCCTTTTGGAATCAACACTCACTCCATAGTTTAATCTGGCTAAGTCCACATTACCTTCATGTAGTTTGTTATAAGCATCTCAAACACCTCTAGTCTAATTTGAGGACAGAATTCTCTAAAGAACAGAACTGAAAAACCATCAGGTCCCGACACTGATTTATTTTCCATATCATGCACTGTCGGACTGTCATCTCTAACGACGTCTTTGAGTCATTCTTTCAACATGAATTCAGCATTCCCATGCCACTAGCAATTTCCTCCGTGGCCTCTTGAATTGTTACAAAATCAACCTGTCCCATTTGAATCCCTAAATCCTGCAAATTTCTATCTTCATTCATCTTTGAGAAGCATATATACATCAGCATCCTCTCCCATTTCATTATGCTCTGCCATTTCTTCTACCTCAAACACCAACCCAACAAGAATAACTCTCAAGTGGTGCAAACAAAACATGAGTTGGATATACGGCCTGGAAAATACAAGCACTCAAAGGTCATCCAATCAAACTGTTTCTGCTTTGACAAGTAGTCCCTCCAAAAGAGTGCAATTCTCATTTTTCGATGAGTCAGATAATTTTAAGTTTGACCAAATCTGTAAGAAATTTATGATGTCGAATAATTATCATTAGATGAATCATGAAATAAATTTTCATAGTAAACCTATTTGGAGACAAATGTTAGTATGCATGGAGGAGACAGGCAGTTGTTGCGTGTAGTTTTTATCATTTTTTGATATGGCGGCATTCCAAGAGTTGCTGGGTTTTCTTTTTTCTATTTTTAGATGTGGATACTGTATTTTGACAGCTACGTGCGGCAAGCCGCGCACATTTGCCGTGAACTTCATTTAGCAGTACCAAGAAAGGTGCTTCAGATCAGGCGAGATTATGGAACTAAGATTAGTTCTTGACGACGATTTTCATTTAGCCCCGAACTTTTGTACTGGAATTCTTGGTGACCAAGGGAAACCAATCAAATAATCATCTCCTCCAATGGGAACACCAACGGTGGTGCTCATCCCATTCTGCGTCACCGGCCACCTGACGTCCATGCTCCAAGCCGGCAAGCGGATGCTGATGAGCGGCGGCGGCGACCGCGCCATGTCGCTCACCGTGCTCCTCGCGCCACTGCCGATGGCCAGGTTTGCGCACATCGTGGAGCAGGAGGCCTCCTCGGGCTCGGGGTTTGACATCCGCTTCCACCGCCTCCCTGACGTGGAGCTCCCCGCCTTCTCCGGCCCGGAGGACATGATCTCCAGCTTCATTCAGCTGCAAGCGTCCAACGCTAAGGCGGCCATTGCCGGCCTGGGATGCACCGTCGCCGCCGTCGTCATGGACTACTTCTGCACCGCGCTGTTCGACGTCACCCGCGAGCTGGCACTGCCGGTGTACGTGTACTTCACGTCCCCGGCCTCCATGCTCGCGCTCATGCTGCGGCTGCCGGCGTTGGACCAGGAAGTGGCGGGGGATTTTGGGGAGGCGGAAACGGCGTTCGACGTGCCTGGTATGCCGCCGGTGCCAGCGGCTTTCCTGCCGAATGCCGTGATGAAGAGGGATTCGGGCTACACGTGGAGCATGTACCACGCCAACCGGTTCATGGAGGCCGCCGGCATCATCGTCAACACGGTGGCGGAGCTCGAGCCGGAAGCCCTCGCGGCCATCGCTGACGGCCGGTGCATGCCCGAGCGCCGCGTCCCGACCATCTACCCGATCGGTCCCGTGATCGCCTTTGCTCCGCCTGCCGAGCAGTCGCACGAGTGCCTGCGCTGGCTGGACGCGCAGCCGCGTTCGTCCGTGGTCCTGCTCTGCTTCGGGAGCATGGGCAACCTGACCATGCCGCAGGTGCACGAGATCGCTGAGGGCCTGCAACGCAGCGAGCACCGGTTCCTGTGGGTGCTCCGTGGCCCGCCGCCAGCCGGGTCGCCGTACCCGACCGACGCCAACGTGGAGGAGCTGGTCCCGGGAGGCTTCTTGGAGAGGACCAAGGAGAGGGGCCTCGTGTGGCCGAGATGGGCGCCGCAGAAGGAGATCCTGTCGCACCCGTCCATCGGGGGCTTCGTGTCGCACGGCGGGTGGAACTCGACGCTGGAGAGCCTGTGGCACGGCGTGCCGCTGGTGACGTGGCCTCTGTATGCGGAGCAGCACATGAACGCGTTCGTGCTTGTGGCGGGCCTGGGCGTCGCCGTGGCGATGGAGGTGGACAGGAAGCGGGGCAACTTCGTGGAGAACGCGGAGCTGGAGCGCGCGGTGCGGGCGCTGATGGGCGGGTCGGAGGAGGGGAGGAAGGCGAGGGAGAAGGCCGCCGAGGCGAAGGCCGCGTGCCGGAACGCGGCAGAGGAGGGCGGGTCGTCGTGTGCCGCGTTGCAGAGACTGATGCGCGAGATCTCGGGACTCGGAGGGGCGTCAAGGCGCGACTCTGCATCCTGCAGCTGCGGGCATGGGTTTTGCTAGTGTAGTACTAGTAGGTGCAGGGGAACCAGGTGCAGGATGGATTTTTTGCATGGATCGTGGCATCGTGCAATAGCTCTTGGCTTACGTATGAGCATGTTCCGTAGTACTGTGATCTGCTTGTGCAATTGTGCTCGGCTCATATCATATATACCAGTACTAGAGAATTTTGTATAGTTCCATGGATGAACCGGCTGTGAAGAAAGAA